AACATTCTGGACTCAATAAATTTCGTCCTATTGAAAGTGCGGTCCACATATCTAATGCTTGCAAACTGCCGAACGATCCTAAGTTACGTGAAATAAGGCGATTCTTGATCTTAAAAGTATTACCATTTTTCTTTAGCCATTAAAGCAACACCTACACCTAGTATTACGCGAGCAAAGCATCGCTTCAGACTGTAATGCATTGGTCACCGGATAGCTATTTGCGCAAATTCGCGTGTAAACGCGTCACGCGTGCGTCCGCACCTGTGTACGTGACGACCACTTTTGGCATAACTGCTCAGGCAGTAGCACCCAGTCCTCTTAGCCACATATCATGGCTCTGACGGATACCACTCCACTCGCCAATAATTATAATCCCAGCCATCCTCTTGCTCCCTTAAAAGCCACCCGTGGTTAGATTAATGGCCTATGGAGAATTAATTAAACCAGTGCACCCTTCATGTCCCGATTGACTTATGTAGAAAGAAACCAAACGCATGCATAAAAACAAGTGCACCTAGATAGCAGTTGCAAAAACTAGCTTGTGGTAATGAGGAACACAATGAATGACAAAAACATACAAGATCCTTGGCTGTGTCACTGATTTCATCCCACTCGGGACTGCGAAAAGAATACTTGCCCTGCATAATCTGTCGTAGCATAAGATACTCTTTTCGATTCCAAAACGGTGGAAATCCAACAAGAAGCGTGTACATGATAACGCCACAGGCCCACACATCAACAGGCTGCCCATAGGGAGCTTGACCATCGTAATACCCACAACGGAGAACCTCGGGAGCAAGATAACCAGGTGTACCTCGAGTTTCTGGAAATGGAAGAATGAATTAGGCACAGGTTTCATAGAGAGAATTACTATTACTACCTTGCAGTTCGTCAACGTCAGTAGCGTAAACAGCTAGGCCGAAATCAGATATTTTAATGTTCATTTCTGAGTCCATTAAAATATTTTCAGGCTTAAGATCACGATGGACAACTCCTTTTGAGTGTATGAAATTAACAGCATCTAGCATTTGTCGCATAATCATACGGGTTCGCTTCTCTGAAAGGGTGATCATTTTTGTGAGGTAATCAAAAAGCTCCCCACCCTTGCAGCTACAAGGATTGATAAAATCAAAAAAATCTGAAGGACGTACAGTTCGAAAACCAGGAACACGTACGCGTCCTCTTCGAAAACATCTTGCAGCTTTATTATATTGGGATGACCAGCAACCTTGCGCAGGATGGAAACTTCACGCATACACTCTGCACGCAAAACTTCAATGGTTTCCACACCGCTGTTCAGATCTAAAATTTTGACGGCGAATTCCTCCTTTGTATCTTTTGATATGCACCGACGAACTGTACTGCTCGCACCAGTGCCTAAGACCTCTTGAGGGATGTACTTCGTGTTGAATTTGTTTGTTGGGGATGTGTCAACAACTTCTTTTTCCAGATCAAGAACAGCCATATTCAATGAAGGGGACAGACGTGGACATCACAAGTCCTGTGAAGACCCTGTGTCGAACAACGCGGACCCTTCATTGTGCAGCAAAACAAATTAAGGTCATACCTATGAAGCTTGCAATGTCTTTAAACTTGTTTAGTACATTCAAGGCAAGGCTTGTGATGGATCAGCAAATTTTTAATCGATTATATAAAAAGTTATGATGATCACAATGCAATCTAATTAATATCTGTTTCCCGATACTTGAGGTGACAAGCTATGTCCTCTTTTAATCATTGCTTAATTGCTATCAATATTATGTGGTTACAAAGACAACATTTTTAAAAGCACCAAAGGAATTTTCTTAGCATAGGATTACTGCCAATCGAAGCCTTCCGTTTCACATCCTTGTGGTTTTGCGAGAATGGCTTACCATTAAAAGGTATCACTTCGGGATAAAAACAACCACATTGCTTCTCAGACCTAGTGCATACTGTTGTGGCTGGGGGTTCATAAACGGCTCTGTTAAAATCTATCGCGGCTTATATTACCCTTCAGTACCATGTAACACTAGGTTGAATATTATTTACCCTATTAAATACCTAATTAGGATTCAGCGGTTAAAAAATACTCCTCTTTGGGTACCCAGCTTCCTATGTAAGATCAAACTCTATTCTTTTTTAAGACAAAAAATGTGTAACTTGTTCAAATTAATTAATTTTCATCTTCATTGCATTTCTTCGATTACTTTAACAATTCATTCATGTGTCAGTTTAGGGTTCCTTAAAATCTTACTGCGGTATTTTGGGAAGAAAACTTTAGCTCAATTTTGCAGTAATTGGAAGACGATTTAAATTGTGCTTCCGCAGG